ACAGGCCGCATGACCTAAGTATTATTTGAGGACCAAACTATGGATAACAGCAGGTTCTCTAATGGAGTGTTTGCTGTGATGTGGTGGCTGGTGTGATAAACCGTGTTCACTGTGGTAGGGTATCATGTTCACAATGATGTGGTGACATGCAGTGCTCACGGGAGGGGTTCTCTCATGAGGATGTACAACCTTTTGAAACAGACCCAGATGGTATCATAGTCTATCTGGTGTTCACTACTATACAGTATGGCTCCACAAAAAGAAATTGTGTGGAACACTTTTTATGGATAAGACAACCTCTTTGTTGCAGTAGTAGTTGCGACATTTCGGTGTAGATCCTAACACCGTTATCAAGCAAATGATCGTCGAAAATGATTTTTCATGATTGCTTCACAAACATGATGAATACAAAGACATACGGTTGATTTTCCTACACCAACGTGATTTCCAACTGTCCTGTATTCAGCCGATGAACGTTGAAAGCGTGATGGGGAGGATCACCCATCATATGATGTTGTAAAACACTGGCATTGCCAGTTCAAGTGTGGCTGGACATCTGTTGAAAGTGCTCCCATTCCTGGGCGCCCCCTTTCTGCCATTGATGAAGACACCATCCAGCAAGTGGAGGCTGCCAGTTCGGAAGACAGACGTATAACTGATGACAGTTAGCCCAAAATGTCAAGATAAATGTAGGATCTGTGTAGGGTCTGTGTAAATTGCGAGAAGCTATCAAACTCAAAAGGAGCGGCATGCTGACCAGAGGAGTCCGTCTCCTGCAAGACAAGACCCCAGTCCACAACTTGCATATTGCCGAGACAGAAGCGTGCTCCTGTGGCTATGAAAGCCTTCCACACACACCCTATCATCTGACTTTCACCTGTTTCCAACCAAGTCATTTTCGGAAGTGAAGTTGTGGCCTGAGGCTCAACCCACTGACTTTTACAACCAAAGCCTCCAGAGTTGCATAAATCGACGGGGAATGTGTATAACTCTTGGTGCTGCCGATGTAGGGAAAGACTAATAACTGTTCCAAGTTTTGTTTGTCTAAGTCCGTCGGAAGTGGGTATGGGGAAATCTTTAATGAAGGCCCTTATATGTACATGTACATGTGAAACAACAATGGTGACAACACAACATAATACAACAGGACATTCTGTCATAGATCAGTGGGTTACTGGAACATTGAACCAGTTGCCTTTCCCAGTCAGTGAGATGTGATGAATGGCTCCGTGTTGTTACAGAACTACCCAGTATGCACACACTGCTTACCCTTGTGGGAATCTTGACATTGTTATTTGATTGTGATGAGTCGGACAGACTTCTCCTACCAGATCATGTGACCCATCTGAAACACAAGGAAACAAACAGTACACTCAGTTGCTATGGTTACATATAACACACAGTCAGCTGATTATTATGTGACCAGCTGGACAAGCTCTGTGATGTAAACCTTTGAAGTTCCGGTTCAAATTGTTTTTCTGTAACCCAAGCTTGTTAAGCTGACTTGGTTGACATGTCATCCTATTCCAATTGCTTAGATTGATGCTCATGCTGTTGATCACTATTTCGTCTGGTCCAGACTCGAATATTTACAGACCGCCGCCATATAGCTGGAACATTGCTGAGTGTGACATAAAACAACGAACCGAACCTGTGATGTAAACGATGTCCTTGCTGTATAAAACACAGCAATATTTATATATCTATGAACTAACTCTGACTATCCAACCTAAATGGATAATTTCTTGAGCTAACCAGTTGTCAGCTTTTGAAGCTACTTGTCCCAGTCAAAATGAAGGCTGTGTTAATTCTCTAAAATTATTCAATTACAAACAAAACCTTACTGTTAATCAACTATAAACTGCCTCCACAATTAACCGAAGCCATCCACATCAACAACACCGACCCCTGATCAATACAGACTAAGGTTACTTCATCCCCTCTGCGTACAATGAACTCATCAACCAACCTTAACTGGTTGTATTACTTGTACCAACACCAGTAAACCCCACTGGCTTCTACATGTATCCCTTGTCACTGGCTTCTACATGTATCCCTTGTCACTGGCTTGTACATGTATCCCTTGTCACTGGCTTCTACATGTATCCCTTGTCACTGGCTTGTACATGTATCCCTTGTCACTGGCTTCTACATGTATCCCTTGTCACTGGCTTCTACATGTATCCCTTGTCACTGGCTTCTACATGTATCCCTTGTCACTGGCTTCTACATGTATCCCTTGTCACTGGCTTCTACATGTATCCCTTGTCACTGGCTTCTACATGTATCCCTTGTCACTGGCTTCTACATGTATCCCTTGTCACTGGTTTCTACATGTATCCCTTGTCACTGGTTTCTACATATAATCCTATCACATTGTTACTTTACATCCCAATTCACGTCCTTGTTGTTTTAGTTCATTATTTTCCGTATATATAGTCCCCTGTTATCTACCTTATTCATACTTGCTTGACAACGATACAAGAATCTGTATCGAAACGTCGCATCTACCGAATAAAGAAGTTGTTTATCCATAAAGTTTGTCTGTATATAACTATCAACATTGCAGTTGTGAATGTACGTGACATGTTAGGCACAGAACACAAACAGAAAATAATCAAGAGTCATGTGCAAAGGCATTTCAAGAAGGACTATATAAGTACAAATGCCCATTCATTGGAGTAACCAAACACAATAGGCGGACCAAAGGGAGGGAAAACATACATGCTAGGGGTGACTGTTGAAGTTGAAACAACTATAGCAATTGCGATGGTCTATTGCGACATACTATTGCGATTGCGATGGTCTATTAATACTATTGCAATAGTTTTTTCTCTCCTTGAATTGTCTCATTTGAACAAATGAATGTATAGTTTATATGAAATAAAAACAAGTTGAAGTAGTTTCAGTCAGAGGCCCAGATAAGCTGCGTATCCTGGTAAAATACGCATAGAAAATTTGCAATTACGCATTGAAAAATAATTGTTGCGTACCAATTACGCATTAAAAATGTTAGATCACATAAAGTTTAAAACAAATGCGTCTGAAATATATTTATAAAAATAAACTATGTAATGAAAAGGACATCGATTGCTATCAAGTTGTACTGTTAGTATAGGACTAGTGTTGTACTGTCAGTATAGGATGAGTGATTTTTTATGAAATCATTTCCATTATATTTAAGTTGGTTTTGATTAGGTATGACATAAGGCAGAACATACCTTAGGTGAGTAAAATGACTGAAATACGCACATATTTGAAAGCAGTGGGTAACAGAAAATGAAGTACCCACTCAACATTCATAATACCCACTCCAACAAAATACAGTGGGTACAGTACCCACATGAGCTAAATCTTATCTGGAGCTCTGTCAGTTTCTTTTAATAACTGACAAGAAACTTGAAACCCAGATCAAGTACACAGTTAAACCATAAACTCAATGAAGCTGCAAGTCTGCACCCAAACATCCTGTATTTTGAGCCAACATATCGCTGGAATATTGCTGAGTGCGGCGTAAATCTAAACTCACTCACTCCTGTATTTTGCGCAGTACATTTATGATTGGAAGTCAATTACAAAATTACCGATAGTCATATATGCTATTGATGCATCGATAGTTTTTCGTCTCTAATCGATTAATTGCTATCGGAGACTCAACAATTGCAATCCATCAATAGTTCGATGCATCGTTACAGCCCTAATACAGAACATACCACATACCATACTGTGAAATTTGTCTGACAAGCATAGACACAGACATTCAACACAGGACTGTGGATGGTCAGAAATATTATTCTTGCATGAGAAAGAGAATCTCCGCACAAATGTGACCAGCTGACCTCAGACAAGTCACTTTGGGATTTACTCCACATCCGCTCATGTGGTCAGTGCTGTCTCTGCAGTCATTTCACTGATCATGTGATGTTTTCAGAGTTTAAGGAATCTATCATGACTGACTGACTGAGTTTGGTTTTACGCTGCTTTTAGCAATATTCCAGCAATATCACGGCGGGGGACACCAGAAATGGGCTCCACACATTGTGCCCATGTGGGGATTCGAACCCGGGTCTTCGGCGTGACGATCCAACGCGTTAACCATTAGGCTACCCCACCTATAACCTGTAACCTATGACATTCTAGTGATCATTCAAAGCCTGACATTAAGTTTACATGATTCAGGACATGACGAGCCATAGATAATAACTTCGTTAAGTGGCATGTTAGAAGTGGTAAAGATGAAGGAAAACCTAGTTGTATGGATAGTCAACTTCTTTACTGCAATGAGTGTGACATTTCAGTGTAGATACCAACAATGTTATTAACTACTAACACTGGCGTGATAACGGTGTCAGTATCTACACTGAAACGGCACACTCATTGCAATAAAGACGTTGACTATCCATCCATACAACTTGCTGTTCCTTCATGGATAGCTTGTTCCAGCTGTTCATTCAACATACATGACTTCCATGTCAGTCAATAACTATCTTTTTCAAACAGGAAATTAGATCTTCTAATAATTCCACCCCATTCTGTTACACACATTGCAAGGTTTACTTATATTTAAAGTTTTAGACTTCCTACAGTAGAAATATAACGGATTTACCTCACTTGCACAAGCACATCAGATTACTAAGAAACAGAATGCAACCTTCTATCGTATAACGACTATTGCCATTTCATCCAAATCAGCAAATATGTCACTGACAAAAATGTGTATATCTTACCTTGAGTGATTATCAATACGTTCGTCCAGCACTAATTAATCAGATCAATATTTTCATTGAACTTCACACCAGGCTGATGACGTTCCAAGAGTACAATAATCGAGGCCCACCCATGTTCATCTTTACATTCATTTGTTGATATCACACTTTCTGACACGTGACAGTGGGACCCCAAACTAACGCCAACTTGTATACATGCACTTTACAACAATAATAACGAGACTGAAATAATACTCCAAATAAAATATTGCTTTATCAAAGTTGTCGACTTACCCAAACTTCTAAAATTTGCATCCTCAGATTGTTTCCTTGGAAAGGGACATAACCACGTGTTTGGACATCAGTTCCCGCGTCGGGCCATGTCAGTTGACACAGGGGGTGGAAGTTAGTTAGATCCGGTCAATTCCTTCACGTCGGGCGAAGATAAAAAGCTCATTTGACATAATACAGTAATCAGCTATTTATGTCTTTGCGTTTGTTATGTCAAGATTTGGCCCTCAAAGTATCATTTTCCAAACGTACCGAGTCGCAAATTGACAATATCTGCACACATAGACCTTACACCCCTAGTGCAATTATGTGTTTCTGGAGCCCATATTTCTGCAAGGGAGGTTACTCTAACTTGATGCATTACAGCTGTTGGAACTGCGTTAGGTCACAGACAGCGAAACTTTTTTTTGCAGATTTCAGAACTATTAAAGAACGCCGATTTTTAACTACTTTTTTCTATTCCTTTTTATTTATTCGGCACCAGTTCTTGTAGGCGTAACAGGCCGCATGACCTAAGTATTATTTGAGGACCAAACTATGAACAACAGCAGGTTCTCTAATTGAGTGTTTGCTGTGATGTGGTGGCTGGTGTGATAAACCGTGTTCACTGTGGTAGGGTATCATGTTCACAGTGATGTGGTGACATGCAGTGCTCACGGGAGGGGTTCTCTCATGAGGATGTACAACCTTTTGAAACAGACCCAGATGGTATCATAGTCTAGCTGGTGTTCACTACTATACAGTATGGCTCCACAAAAAGAAATTGTGTGGAACACTTTTTATGGATAAGACAACCTCTTTGTTGCAGTAGTAGTTGCGACGTTTCGGTGTAGATCCTAACACCGTTATCAAGCAAATGATCGGCGAAAATGATTTTTCATGATTGCTTCACAAACATGATGAATACAAAGACATACGGTCGATTTTCCTACACCAAAGAGATTTCCAACTGTCCTGTATTCAGCCGATGAACGTTTCCTTTCTCATTCTGAAGTTTCAAACCAATCTGTTTCGTTAAATCGATGTAAAGCGATGCTATCATACCAATGTGTTGATCTAGGTTTTCTTCTCATGCCCGTCAGTGGTACATCCAAGAATTAAACCCGAACACTGGGGTAAAATGGCAGCTGTCTTTTTCTGCGGTGCATCTGCAGTCTTACCCTGTCCATTGTTATCTCAGAAATGAATGTTGTTCAATGATTTGTTTCTGTTTGCTTATATGTCGCCCTAACCTCGTATGAACGCGTAGCAAATATACTTTTACTTGTGTGTAAATTTGCTTCATGAGCAAATCTGCATATATGCAAAACTTTGTCGTATGAATAGGGCTTAATTATTAGACGTGGCTCTGTTTCATCTCACAATGCTCTGTAGGGGAGAGTCACGGTGGCTCTGTTTCATGTCGGGGAGAGTCACGGTGGCCAAGTTTCATCTTGCACGTGCTGTATAGGGGAGAGTCACGGTGGCTCTGTTTCATGTCGGGGAGAGTCAAGGTGGCTAAGTTTCATCTTGCACGTGCTGTATAGGGGAGAGTCACGGTGGCTCTGTTTCATGTCGGGGAGAGTCACTGATGGGTGGGTTGGTATAACTCACAGCCGTGTGGTCAGTCCAGACTGTTGAGGGTGGCTGATGGGTGGGTTGGTATAACTCACAGCTGTGTGGTCAGTCCAGACTGTTGAGGGTGGCTGATGGGTGGGTTGGTATAACTCACAGCTGTGTGGTCAGTCCAGACTGTTGAGGGTGGCTGATGGGTTGGTTGGTATAACTCACAGCAGTGTGGTCAGTCCAGACTGTTGAGGGTGGCTGATGGGTGGGTTGGTATAACTCACAGCCGTGTGGTCAGTGCAGACTGTTGAGGGTGGTTGATGGGTGGGTTGGTATAACTCACAGCTGTGTGGTCAGTGCAGACTGTTGATGGTGGCTGATGGGTGGGTTGGTATAACTCACAGCCGTGTGGTCAGTCCAGACTGTTGAGGGTGGCTGATGGGTGGGTTGGTATAACTCACAGCTGTGTGGTCAGTCCAGACTGTTGAGGGTGGCTGATGGGTGGGTTGGTATAACTCACAGCTGTGTGGTCAGTCCAGACTGTTGAGGGTGGCTGATGGGTGGGTTGGTATAACTCACAGCTGTGTGGTCAGTCAGACTGTTGAGGGTGGCTGATGGGTGGGTTGGTATAACTCACAGCTGTGTGGTCAGTCCAGACTGTTGAGGGTGGCTGATGGGTGGGTTGGTATAACTCACAGCCGTGTGGTCAGTGCAGACTGTTGAGGGTGGCTGATGGGTGGGTTGGTATAACTCACAGCTGTGTGGTCAGTGCAGACTGTTGAGGGTGGCTGATGGGTGGGTTGGTATAACTCACAGCCGTGTGGTCAGTGCAGACTGTTGAGGGTGGCTGATGGGTGGGTTGGTATAACTCACAGCCGTGTGGTCAGTGCAGACCATAAGGTTCATGTAAACTTCGTGGTGTTGTATATGTAAACCTTGTGGCAAGGGCGTCATGGAAACCTCGATGTGTTGTTTATGTAAACCTTGTGACAAGGGCATGATGTAAACCTTGTGGTGGTGTTCATGTAAACCTTGTGGTGTTGTTTATGTAAACCTTGTGGCAAGGGCGTCATGTAAACCTTGTGGTGTTCTTCATGTAAACCTTGTGTTGTATATGTAAATCTTGTGGCAAGGGCATCATTTAAACTTCGTGGTGTTGTATATGTAAATCTTGTGGCAAGGGCGTTATTTAAACTTCGTGGTGTTGTTCATGTAAACCTTGTGGCAAGGGCGTCACTTAAACTTCGTGGTGTTGTATATGTAAATCTTGTGGCACGAGTTGTCATTTAAACTTCGTGGTGTTGTATATGTAAATCTTGTGGCAAGGGCGTCATTTAAACTTCGTGGTGTTGTATATGTAAATCTTGTGGCAAGGGCGTCATTTAAACTTCGTGGTGGTGTTCATGTAAACCTTGTGGTGTTATAATGTAAATCTTGTGGTGTTGTATATGTAAACCCCGTGGCAAGGACGTCATGGAAACTTCGTGGTGTTGTTCATGTAAATCTTGTGGCAAGGGCGTGATGTAAACCTTGTGGTGGTGTTTATGTAAACCTCGTGGCAAGGGTATCATTTAAACTTCGTGGTGTTGTGTATGTAAACCTTATGGCAAGGGCGTCATGGAAACCTTGTGGTGTTCTTCATGTAAACCTTGTGGTGTTGTATATGTAAATCTTGTGGCAAGGGCGTCATTTAAACTTCGTGGTGTTGTATATGTAAATCTTGTGGCAAGGGCGTCATTTAAACTTCGTGGTGTTGTATATGTAAATCTTGTGGCAAGGGCGTCATTTAAACTTCGTGGTGTTGTATATGTAAATCTTGTGGCAAGGGCGTTATTTAAACTTCGTGGTGTTGTTCATGTAAACCTTGTGGCAAGGGCGTCATGTAAACTTCGTGGTGTTGTATATGTAAATCTTGTGGACGACTTGTCATTTAAACTTCGTGGTGTTGTATATGTAAATCTTGTGGCAAGGGCGTCATTTAAACTTCGTGGTGTTGTATATGTAAATCTTGTGGCAAGGGCGTCATTTAAACTTAGTGGTGGTATTCATGTAAACCTTGTGGTGTTGTATATGTAAATCTTGTGGTGTTGTTTATGTAAACCTCGTGGCAAGGGCGTCATGTAAACTTCGTGGTGTTGTTCATGTAAATCTCGTGGCAAGGGCGTGATGTAAACCTTGTGGTGGTGTTTATGTAAACCTCGTGGCAAGGGTATCATTTAAACTTCGTGGTGTTGTGTATGTAAACCTTGTGGCAAGGGCGTCATGGAAACCTCGATGTGTTGTTTATGTTAACCTTGTGACAAGGGCGTGATGTAAACCTTGTGGTGTTGTTCATGTAAACCTTGTGGTGTTGTTTATGTAAACCTTGTGGCAAGGGCGTCATGTAAACCTTGTGGTGTTCTTCATGTAAACCTTGTGGTGTTGTTTATGTAAACCTTGTGGCAAGGGCGTCATGGAAACCTTGTGGTGTTCTTCATGTAAACTTTGTGGTGTTCTTCATGTAAACCTTGTGGTGTTGTATATGTAAATCTTGTGGCAAGGGCGTCATTTAAACTTCGTGGTGTTGTATATGTAAATCTTGTAGCAAAAGCGTCATTTAAACTTAGCGTGGTGGTGTTGTATATAAAATCTTGTGGCAAAGTCATTTAAACTTCGGTGGTGTTGTATATGTAAATCTTGTGGCAAGGGCGTCATTTAAACTTAGGTGGTGTTGTATATGTAAATCTTGTGGCAAGGGTGTCGTTTAAACTTCGTGGTGTTGTATATGTAAATCTTATGGCAAGGGCGTCATTTAAACTTAGTGGTGGTGTTCATGAAAACCTTGTGGTGTTGTATATGTAAATCTTGTGGTGTTGTTTATGTAAACCCCGTGGTAAGGGCGTCATGGAAACTTCGTGGTGTTGTTCATGTAAATCTTGTGGCAAGGGCGTCATGGAAACCTCGTGGTGGTGTTTATGTAAACCTTGTGGCAAGGGTATCATTTTAACTTCGTGGTGTTGTATATGTAAACCTTGTGGCAAGGGCGTCATGGAAACCTCGATGTGTTGTTTATGTAAACCTTGTGACAAGGGTGTGATGTAAACCTTGTGGTGGTGTTCATGTAAACCTTGTGGTGTTGTTTATGTAAACCTTGTGGTGTTGTTTATGTAAACCTTGTGGTGTTCTTCATGTAAACCTTGTGTTGTATATGTAAATCTTGTGGCAAGGGCGTCATTTAAACTTCGTGGTGTTGTATATGAAAATCTTGTGGCAAGGGCGTCATTTAAACTTCGTGGTGTTGTATATGTAAATCTTGTGGCAAGGGTGTCATTTAAACTTCGTGGTGTTGTATATGTAAATCTTGTGGCAAGGGGGTCATTTAAACTTCGTGGTGTTGTATATGTAAATCTTGTGGCAAGGGCGTCATTTTAACTTCGTGGTGTTGTATATGTAAATCTTGTGGCAAGGGCATCATTTAAACTTCGTGGTGTTGTTCATGTAAACCTTGTGGCAAGGGCGTCATGTAAACTTCGTGGTGTTGTATATGTAAATCTTGTGGCAAGGGCGTCATTTAAATTTCGTGGTGTTGTATATGTAAATCTTGTGGCAAGGGCGTCATTTAAACTTCGTGGTGTTGTATATGTAAATCTTGTGGCAAGGGCGTCATTTAAACTTTGTGGTGTTGTTCATGTAAACCTTGTGGTGTTGTATATGTAAATCTTGTGGTGCTGTTTATGTAAACCTCGTGGCAAGGGCGTCATGTAAACTTCGTGGTGTTGTTCATGTAAATCTTGTGGCAAGGGCGTCATGGAAACCTCGTGGCAAAGGTATCATTTAAACTTCGTGGCGTTGTATATGTGAACCTTGTGGCAAGGGCGTCATGGAAACCTCGATGTGTTGTTCATGTAAACCTTGTGACAAGGGCGTGATGTAAACCTTGTGGTGTTGTTCATGTAAACCTTGTGGTGTTGTTTATGTAAACCTTGTGGCAAGGGCGTCATATAAACCTTGTGGTGTTCTTCATGTAAACCTTGTGGTGTTCTTCATGTAAACCTTGTGGTGTTGTTTATGTAAACCTTGTGGCAAGGGCGTCATGTAAACCTTGTGGTGTTCTTCATGTAAACCTTGTGGCAAGGACGTCATGTAAACCTTGTGGTGTTGTTCATGTAAACCTTGTGGCAAGGGCGTCCTTTAAAGATAAAGAACACATAGTGGCATTAAATTGTTTATAACCTGTAGACAAAAACAGGATCCTGTACATTTCTAATAAAGAATAAATACTTCAACAAAAATATAATAAACAACAGACAAAATCTGCTAACAACAGTATAAATGAGTAAATAAAGTGAGTAATGTGAGAATAATAGAAGTACAACTGACTTCTGAACAGTGCTAAGACAAAAGGCATGATACACATTTTCTAACGAAGTGAAAGTTAAACTACAGAATATTTCCCAAAATCTGAAACAGCTGAAACACACCTGTCAACTCTAAATCAGTATCTCTCTTGTGACACCAGCTTGCCCTCAGTAATACACAGGTGCCAGCTTCAACCTGGGACCATAAACCACGAGGACCCTGATGATACTGATTTTATTGGACAGTGCTATGCCTGGACAATGGACAGTGAGTATTGGAAGCTTTATTATTATTGAAATAGCAAGACAGCATGAAAACCATTTGTCTCATCCAATAAGCTGCAATGTGATCTGCTGATCTGCTCATTGATGTGGCACCAATGTGATCTGCTGATCTGCTCACTGATGTGGCAGGAATGTGATCTGCAGATCTGTGAATTGATGTGGCACCAATGTGACCTGATCTGCTCACTGATGTGACCTGCTGATCTGCACCAATGTGACCTAAAGATCTGTTCACTGATGTGCCACCGATGTGACCTGATCTGCTCACTGATGTGGCACAAATGTGATCTGCAGATCTGCGAATTGATGTGGCACCAATGTGACCTGATCTGCTCACTGATGTGACCTGCTGATCTCCTCCAATGTGACATGCAGATCTGCTCACTGATGTGACACCAATGTGACCTGCTGATCTGCTCACTGATGTGGCATAAATGTGACCTGATCTGCACCGATGTGACCTAAAGATCTGCTCACTGATGTGGGACGAATGTGATCTGCAGATCTGCGCATTGATGTTGCACCAATGTGACCTGATCTGCTCATTGATGTGACCTGCTGATCTGCTCACTGATGTGACCTGCTGATCTGCACCAATGTGACCTGCAGATCTGCTCACTGATGTGGCACCGATGTGACCTGCTGATCTGCACACTGATGTGGCACCAATGTGACCTGCTGATCAGCTCACTAATGTGGCACTGATGTGACCTGCTGATCTGCTCACTGATGTGATATGCTGATCTGCACCAATGTGACCTGCAGATCTGCTCACTGATGTGGCACCAATGTGACCTGCTGATCTGGTCACTGATGTGACCTGCTGATCTGCACCGATGTGACCTGCTGATCTGCTCACTGATGTGGCACCCATGTGACCTGTGGATATGCTCACTGATGTGGCACCGATGTGACCTGTGGATATGCTCACTGATGTGGCACCGATGGGGTCTACTGATTTGGTCATGATTGTTTTACTAATGATCCCAGGCAAATGTTTGAGTCAAACAATATGTACTTATGAGGGCTACAAAAACATATGTATTTATTCTTGATAATCAGTTTTACAAACAGCCAGTATATGGTAATCAGTTTTCTAACAGCAAGTATTAGAAATGTGATTACTAAAACAGAAGTATTGCATCATGGTATTATGGATAATAACAAAATATCTAACTTGTAAAATAAATGTTAATATCTGTATACACATGGACGGAATTGCATCAAGCACATATGATAAGTTAAAAGAGTATCAATAAACACACATATGGTCAGTATCCCTGACAATATGGACACACCACAGTGTTGTCCAGCACAGATGAAGCCCCTAGAAATAAGCAAGGCCACAAAGGTCAATAGTGCATCTTATTCTTTGGGTTACAACAAAACAGCCAGTAGCTGACATCCAGCCACTATCGCTTGATATCACTAACAGGGAGGAGGGAACATGTATCGCTTGATATCACTAACAAGGAGGAGGGAACATGTATCGCTTGATATCACTAACAGGGAGGAGGGAACATGTATCACTTGATATCACTAACAGGGAGGAGGGAACATGTATCACTTGATATCACTAACAGGGAGGAGGGAACATGTATCGCTTGATATCACTAACAGGGAGGAGGGAACATGTATCGCTTGATATCACTAACAGGGAGGAGGGAACATGTATCGCTTGATATCACTAACAGGGAGGAGGGAACATGTATCACTTGATATCACTAACAGGAAGGAGGGAACATGTATCGCTTGATATCACTAACAGGGAGGAGGGAACATGTATCAGTTCCTAAAGTCTCACTCAGACAACGCTTCATGTTCATGGCTAATTCAATCAAAATTGTCGTCATGAAGCTTTTCAAAACAGTGCACTGTCTATATTAATTGCACAAAGGTTTGACTCCATGCGACCTAAAAGCCCAGGTATAAGAAGGTGAACACAAGAGCCTCTAACCAGGGCCTCATTCCTCAAAGCGATCATAGCTCTACGACTGTTGTAAGTCTATGTTGAAGTATGGGAGTTACGATCGTATCGCTTTGAGGAACGGGGCCCTGATCACATTCTTCACACTTTTCCATGGACTCACTCTGCCTATTACAATACACAGCAAACAAATTATCATACATGCCAAATTCAGAATATCTTTTTACTGCAACATCTCAAATGATGACAGAATGCATTATGCATCACAGATCTGTATACGGGTAAAATCAGGGGTCAACTGGACAAGGATCATATCAGGGTCATGTATCATGACAATGATCATATTGGCATTAGATATCTTGGCAAAGATCATCTTGGGGAACAGATATCTTGACAATTATCATATTGGGGGACTGATATCTTGACAAAGATCATATCATGGATCAGATACCTTGATAAGGATCATATTGGGGGACAAATATCTTGACAATGATTATATCATGGGTCAGATATATCGGGGTTCAGGTTATTCCACAGTTATTATATATTGGACTTCCAGTTTGGAGAACTTTCTTAAAAAAATGTACATATTTCAGAAAAGTATCATTTTAACAAATTTGTATAAAAATAGATAAATATGTGTATACATTTGTTATAGGCACATGGTTGGAAAGACACTGAATGCTTCTTGTTAATTTGGATGACCTCTGCTTGCATCTCGATATACGGCATTCAGTCAGGTGGCCATCACTGACCATTTGTTTGAAACAGGGAAACTTCCTACCCAATTCTACATTCCGAGACCAAGTACAAGATAAGCTGTTACTACTTACTACGCTACTATACACAATGTCACATCATTAACAAGAATGACTTAAGGACACTTAGGCTGAAACAATTCACTTCAACATCAGTTCAACAATATGATTCATTAAACTTTTCATTCTTTATTTTTATGTCACTAATCATCTATATCATTGACACTTGAGTTCACGGCCGATGTACACTGACTGACATTATACAGGGCCGAGGTCTCAGTCGGGACAACACAGGTCTATACCTTCATGTCAGGTTTTGCATGAAAAGCCCCTGTGGAACAGTCCATCTATCATCAGCTTCATGAAGGAGACCCAGCCAAAACCATGTGTGCAACACAATATCCCATACTTATCAGATGGTGAACACTGTGTATCCCATGCATATCATATGGTGAACACTGTACACCACATGCATATCATATGGTGAACACATTATATGACATGCATATCATATGATGAACACTGTATATCACATGCATATCATATGGTGAACACATTATATGACATGCATATCATATAGTGAACACTGTATATCACGTGCATATCATATGGTGAACACAGTATATCACATACCGGTAAATATATTATGGTGAACACAGTATATCACATTCGTGTATATATGATATGGTGAACACAGTATATCACATACCAGTATATATCATTATGGTGAACACAGTATATCACATACCGGTATATATCACACGGTGAACACAGTCTATCACATACCGGTATATATCACACGGTGAACACAGTATATCACATACCGGTATATATCATTATGGTGAACACAGTATATCACATACCGGTATATTTCATTATGGTGAACACAGTATATCACATACTTGAAAATTTTAATATATATTGTATATTTATATACTTATCCTATCTCACGGTATGCACCTCTCCTCTTCTTCTACGGACCATGTGTGGAAACATGCTGTAGGCTAAGTTGAATCAAATCTTACTGGCCTCTGACCTCTGCCCCCACTCTGATATCAGCACCTGTCAAGTTGCAGTTGACCCCTCAGGGTCAATGCCTGACCTGACGTCAAGAGGCCCAGGAGCTCCTGCCATTGACGAAGCATCCTGGGTTGGGCTAGTGCAAGGGAAACCAATCGCTGTATCTTTCAGAAACGATCCCTCGGGACAAACAGTTTGTTGACCTCTGTGTCGAACACTGCTCCAATAAATTGAAGACGACATGTAGGGACTAGTCCCGATTTCTGCAGATTGATTAACCAGCCTAATTGGTGAAGAAGCTGTATCGCACACTGCATGTGATGAAACAGAAGGGCATGATCGGTCTTCGCCTGAATGCAGTCGTCGATGTAAGCTTCGAAAACTATCCCCTTGCGGTGGAGGAAGCTGGTGAAGTGGAAGTGAGCGCTGAAACCTGAGCAAGCGCCGCCGAACCGAATGCACCGTGAGAGAGCACTAAAGCCAGTGCTCTGTGAGGAAGCGCCGAACTGGGAGCACCGCGAGTAAGCGCCGAACCGGGAGCAAACAAGAGCGCCGACCTGGAAACAAGCTCTGAATGAAAGCATGGAATCGGGACCAAGCGGCGCTCTACAAACAGGTCCCTGTCCCGCTGTAAGCGGTCCTTCGGAGGTAAACGACGCACTAGAATAAAGTGGTGGTCCGTAACCACAGGGTACAGGATAAGGGATAGATGTGGAAAGGGTTGCCGCGGGAATCATCGGCAAACTTGTCGACCCCAATCGACGATGAGAAAGCGCCGAACCTAAAACTATCCACTGTACCAGAACCAAGTGTCACCGTGACACAAGCACTGAATGGGAAGCAGAAGCAGAACCAACCACCGAAGTGGAAAGCACCGAACTGCAAGTAAGCGGCATATGAGAGGTAACGTTAGGAACCACACCAAGTGCCGCAGAAACACCCACCGCAGGACCATAAGGGCGCTGAGGAACAGTTACAACCGAAGACGGACGGGGTTGAATAGCAGATGTAGATAACACTACAACCCTAGGTGGTGAGGAGTCCTCTAAAGTGATGGGGCTAGAAGCATACGGACGGAAAAGGCGACACAGATTTTCACTGAGGTAAAAATCAGATGCCTCCCCTAGGAAATCTTCGTTAGGAGAACGTCGAACTGCAGTTTTCTTACGGCGTTCTGCCCTAGGACGTTTAGACGCAGACGGACCTACAGATGGGTTACGGCGATCCCTATCTGACATGCGTCTACAAGCTACCCGGCGATATTCAGAGAAAGCATCGTCGTCGAGGCCAGCACAGAAAGAGCAACGTTGAGACCATTCACAACGACCTAAACAATCTACACATAAAGCATGTGGGTCAGCCGCTGAGAAAGTACTGTTACAATTGTCACAGTGTTTGCGCTTCTTAGAACCATTACGATTCGATTTACCCATTGTTGAAACACAATCAAACTTTCTTAGAGACAAGCACACGTCCACACGACGTAGCGACAAGAAAGAGAATGACAGGCACAGGTAGTCACGTGATCATCTGAGCGAGCTGCACGCTTATGGAGATGATTGACAGGTGCTGATGTCGGAGTGGGGGCAGAGGTCAGGGGGGTCAGAGGCCAGTAAGATTTGATTCAACTTAGCCTACAGCACGTTTCCACACATGGTCGTAGAAGAAGAGGAGAGGTGCATACCGTGAGATAGGATAAGTTTAAAAATTGGTATATATCATTATGGTGAACCCAGCATTATCACATACCGGTATATATCATGTGGTGGACACACACCTCTAATACATATAGTGAACACATATCATGTGGGTGAAACTTCCGCAGAGTTATATCCCTTGGTCATGGCAGGATCACAGTCTTCTGTAGAGGTAGTTAGTAGGCTCCTGTTCAGGTGACAATGCAACCTGAGCCAGCTTCTTCCGCCATCTAACCAATGCAATCAGTTCCCCCAGGCCTATCTGCATCAGCAAACCACAACCTGACAACAGTCATTGAAAGCACCAAGAATAGTATTTCTTTCAAAACTTAAATAAATTCAAGCTTGAAATTCTATATAATTTCATATCGAAGCAAAAGCATTTATATTACAAACTGTTATTCACACCTCGTAGCAAATTACCAAGTTTCAGAGAAAAATGATTATGAGACACCAGGGCTCCAGATAAGGGCCGTATCGGCGTATGTACGGATAAAAAATATGCACGTTACGTTAGGAAATAATTTAGAAAACGTAGCAGATATGCACCACAGCAATGGTGTACGGCCTTAGAATCATTTACTGACGTATTTATCTGAAAAAGTATTGTTTTATTGTGTATTGACCTGTTTACACAAGAGTAGCAATGTTGTGGTGCATATATGAAATGAAACACAAGATTACTGATACTCCATTAAATTCCATTCAGTAAATGTACTCTCTAATGTTCTCTAAACGTACTCTTAAGGTTTTCCAGTACTCCTGTATTGAGAAAATGAGTATGTACTCCTGATGTTGAAAAATTATCTGGAGCTTTGGACACAGTCGCACAACTGGAGTAAATAAGATATATGTGTCATTATTTACATCAGTTAAAAGTATTACTTCAGCTGGTAACTTCTTGGAAGTTTGGAAGAAGGCATATCTATGAAATATTCTCACCTAAACATATCCACCAAGACCAGCTTACTGGGAAATTCAGCATCACTGAAAAAATTCAGGCATATTATTATGTGTCAGTAGTGTTTATTGTGTTGTGATTTCTTTTATAGCTGTCACAGGCAGCAAATATATGAAACACTCTTCCAGTTTGGCTGGCCTGGCCTGGAAGTGCCGATCAGAGTAACCTCCCTTTGTCACTGAAATCCCCAGACAGACTCTATTGTGAAGGGAAAGCTGATGCGTGTGAAGGGAGCGTGAGATGCAGGCAGCCTTCCAGAACCACAGCGAGGTGGCTAAACCTATCCAACACACCAGACTCCTGCCATCTTCCAACACTGTTTCCTGAACACAGCATCTGCCACCAGGAACTGCAGTGTCTCCTCACACATCTTTCCATGATGAAGGTTAAAGAATACCTTCTCCTATGGTCAAACAGCAGTTTTGGAACAATCAAAGCCAACAAGCGTGCATGAGCGCACGCATGCACCCGCAAGTCCGCCCGCACGCATGCACACACACACACACACACACAAACACACACACTTACATGAACATAATTGGCATGTTCCCCTCTCCCTGAGGGAAGCCATGGCTCACCTGAATATTGTTGGTATGCCCCAAGTATAGCCAGGACTCACCTGAATATTGTTGGTATGCCCCAAGCTTAGCCAGGACTCACCTGAATATTGTTGGTATGCCCTAAGCTTAGCCAGGACTCACCTGAATATTGTTGGTATGCCCCAAGTTTAGCCAGGACTCACCTGAATATTGTTGGTATGCCCCAAGTTTAGCCAGGACTCACCTGAATATTGTTGGTATGCCCCAAGTTTAGCCAGGACTCACCTGAATATTGTTGGTATGCCCCAAGTTTAGCCAGGACTCACCTGAATATTGTTGGTATGCCCCAAGATTAGCCAGGACACACCTGAATATTGTTGGTATGCCCCAAGTTTAGCCAGGACTCACCTGAATATTGTTGGTATGCCCCAAGTTTAGCCAGGACTCACCTGAATATTGTTGGTATGCCCCAAGCTTAGCCAGGACTCACCTGAATATTGTTGGTATGCCCCAACCTGAATATTGTTGGTATGCCCCAAGCTTAGCCAGGACTCACCTGAATATTGTTGGTATGCCCCAAGTTTAGCCAGGACTCACCTGAATATTGTTGGTATGCCCCAGGAAGTTAAGCCAGGACTCACCTGAATATTGTTGGTATGCCCCAAGTTTAGCCAGGACTCACCTGAATATTGTTGGTATGCCCCAAGTTTAGCCAGGACTCACCTGAATATTGTTGGTATGCCCCAAGTTTAGCCAGGACTCACCTGAATATTGTTGGTATGCCCCAAGTTTAGCCAGGACTCACCTGAATATTGTTGGTATGCCCCAAGTTTAACCAGGACTCACCTGAATATTGTTGGTATGCCCCAAGCTTAGCCAGGACTCACCTGAATATTGTTGGTATTCCCCAAGTTTAGCCAGGACTCACCTGAATATTGTTGGTATGCCCCAAGTTTAGCCAGGACTCACCTGCACAGCAGAGGAGGATGTGGATGAGGATGATGGTGATGGAGTAGTCCCACACCCAATGACAGCTGACACAACTGTACCCCAGACCACTCACTGCACAGGTCACCTCCATTGAAATCAGGTTCACTTCAGGACAAACAAGTAAGATAATTAGTTGCAAACAATAGAATCACAACACTCTGTTGCACACCTGCATTTTCCTGAAATCTTTTCCTAACCTGTGTATGATATATAACTGTTTGGATCTAAACAATACCAAGCAAGGAGCAGAAGTTGCTCCACAACAGCATGAAGACTTCATAGAGATACATGACACAGAGCAAGTTACTCCACAACAGCATGAAGACTTCATAGAGATACATGACACAGAGCAAGTTACTCCACAACAGCATGAAGACTTCATAGAGATACATGACACAGAGCAAGTTACTCCACAACAGCATGAAGACTTCATAGAGATACATGACACAGAGCAAGTTACTCCACAACAGCATGAAGACTTCATAGAGATACATGACACAGAGCAAGTTACTCCACAACAGCATGAAGACTTCATAGAGATACATGACACAGAGCAAGTTACTCCACAACAGCATGAAGACTTCATAGAGATACATGACACAGAGCAAGTTACTCCACAACAGCATGAAGACTTCATAGAGATACATGACACAGAGCAAGTTACTCCACAACAGCATGAAGACTTCATAGAGATACATGACACAGAGCAAGTTACTCCACAACAGCATGAAGACTTCATAGAGATACATGACACAGAACAAGTTACTCCACAACAGCATGAAGACTTCATAGAGATACATGACACAGAGCAAGTTACTCCACAACAGCATGAAGACTTCATAGAGATACATGACACAGACACAGCATGAAGACTCCACAACAGACACAGAAGACTTCCATAGAGATACATGACACAGAGCAAGTTACTCCACAACAGCATGAAGACTTCATAGAGATACATGACACAGAGCAAGTTACTCCACAACAGCATGAAGACTTCATAGAGATACATGACACAGAACAAGTTACTCCACAACAGCATGAAGACTTCATAGAGATACATGACACAGAGCAAGTTACTCCACAACAGCATGAAGACTTCATAGAGATACATGACACAGAGCAAGTTACTCCACAACAGCATGAAGACTTCATAGAGATACATGACACAGAGCAAGTTACTCCACAACAGCATGAAGACTTCATAGAGATACATGACACAGAGCAAGTTACTCCACAACAGCATGAAGACTTCATAGAGATACATGACACAGAGCAAGTTGCTCACAACAGCATGAAGACTTCATACATGACACAGAACAAGTTGCTCCACAACAGCATGACATAGACTTCATGAGACTTCATAGAGATGACATGACACAGAACAAGCCATCTGAGACTTCACATGACACAGAAGTTACTCCACAACAGCATGAAGACTTCATGACACAGAACAAGTTACATACAGAGAACATTACTCCACATGACTTCATAGAGATACATGACACAGAGCAAGTTACTCCACAACAGCATGAAGACTTCATAGAGATACATGACACAGAGCAAGTTACTCCCACAACAGCATGAAGACTTCATAGAGATACATGACTTCTCCACAACAGCATAGAGATACATGACACAGAGCAAGTTACTCCACAAGTTAGCATGAAGACTTCATGAGCACAGAACAAGTTACTCCACAACAGCATGAAGACTTCATGAGAGATACATGACACAGAACAAGTTACTCCACAACAGCATGAAGACTTCATACAGATACATGACACAGAGCAAGTTACTCCACAACAGCATGAAGACTGGCACAGAACAAGTTGCTCCACAACAGCATGAAGACTTCATAGAGATACATGACACAGAACAAATTACTCCACAACAGCATGAAGACTTCATAGAGATACATGACACAGAACAAGTTACTCCACAACAGCATGAAGACTTCATAGAGATACATGACACAGAACAAGTTAACTCCACAATTTACTCCACAGCATGAAGACTTCATAGAGATACATGACACAGAACAAGTTACTCCACAACAGCATGAAGACTTCATAGAGATACATGACACAGAACAAATACATATCGCAAATACTGGGTAACGAATACCAATATTGGATACTGGAGAATTCAGTGAAACAATAACAGAGTACATTATTTGACGTATTTTTACCAAGCTGACAGCATTAATGTATCATTACAATGACCAATGACTACATCATTGTCAAAGTTAATACTATTATCCTGCTTACCCATCTGTTGTGTGTGATGCTCTATGCTTACCCATCTGTTGTGTGTGATGCTCTATGCTTACCCATCTGTTGTGTGTGAAGCTCCATGCTTACCCATCTGTTGTATGTGATGCTCTATGCTTACCCATCTGTTGTGTGTTATGCTCTATGCGTACCCATCTGTTGTATGTGATGCTCTATGCCTACCCATCTGTTGTATGTGATGCTCTATGCTTACCTATCTGTTGTATGTGAAGCTCTATGCTTACCCATCTGTTGTATGTGATGCTCTATGCTTACCCATCTGTTGTGTGTGATGCTCTATGCCTACCCATCTGTTGTATGTGATGCTCAATGCTGCTTATCCATGCCTCCCACCCATCTGTTGTGTGATGATGCTCTATGCTTACCCATCTGTTGTGTGTGATGCTCTATGCCTACCCATCTGTTGTATGTGATGCTCTATGCTTACCCATCTGTTGTGTGATGCTCTATGCTTACCCATCTGCTCTACCCCCATCTGTTGTATGTGATGCTCTATGCTTACCCATCTGCTCTACCCATCTGTTGTGTGTGATGCTCTATGCCTACCCATCTGTTGTGTGATGCTCTTGCTGTGTATGTGATGCTCTATGCTTATCCATCTGTTGTATGTGATGCTCTATGCTTACCCATATGTTGTATGTGATGCTCTATGCTTACCCATCTGTTGTATGTGATGCTCTATGCTTACCCATCTGTTGTGTGTGATGCTCTATGCCTACCCATCTGTTGTGTGTGATGCTCTATGCTTACCCATCTGTTGTATGTGATGCTCTATGCTTACCCATCTGTTGTGTGATGCTCTATGCTTACCCATCTGTTGTATGTGATGCTCTATGCTTACCCATCTGTTGTGTGTGATGCTCTATGCTAACCCAACTGCTGTATGTGATGCTCTATGCTTACCCATCTGTTGTGTGTGATGCTCTATGCTTACCCATCTGTTGTATGTGATGCTCTATGCTTACCCATCTGTTGTGTATATGTATTAAATATTCTATGCTTACCCATCTGTTGTATGTGATGCTCTATGCTTACCCATCTGTTGTGTATATGTGTTAAATATTCTATGCTTACCCATCTGTTGTGAGGTGTAGTTGTTACAGCACTGGGTTAGGTCTATCCAGCTCTTGAAGTCAAAAGGGATCTTGCCATTGAATGTATCCAGTCTGTCGACGTCCCCAACACAGATAATTGCAAACAAATAACACAAACAGCATTAGGGCAATATTTAGGACAGTCACAAAAGTATTTGTCATCATTACAAATGATGTATTTAGCCCTCCCTTTAAACAAACACAGTGAGTGAGTTATGTTGATGAAGAAAACCCTGCATGGTGCAGATTTTTACCACATCTGTGTGACCTCTGACCTGTGAACTTGTTTTGGTGCGGACAAGCCAAGAGTCATATTCATGGAGATCCTGGGATTTAAACCCAGGATAACTGGTTTCTAACATGCTTAAGTTACACAACTCTGCAGAGTGAATCACACCACCTTAAAAGACTAGAAACAAAATGTCCCTTCCCCCAAAAAGATGTCTCGTCCAGCCGTGCCCCTCTATAGAGACAAGACCATTGGTGCCCCTCTACAGAGATGCCTGGCCCAGCCGTGCCCCACTATAGAGACAAGACCAGTGGTGCCCCTATATAGAGATGACTTGGTAAGCTGTGCCCCACTATAGAGACCCTCTACAGAGATGTCTTGGCCAGCTGTGCCCCACAAGACCGGGTGGTGTGCCCCTCTACAGAGATGTCTTGGCCAGCTGTGCCCCACTACAAACAGAGATGTCTCGGCCAGGTGTGCCCCTCTACAGAGATGACTAGGCCAGCTGTGCCCCACTACAGAGATGTCTAGGCCAGGCATGCCCCTCTACAGAGATGACTAGGCCAGCCGTGCCCCTCTACAAATGCAGATATGACGAGTCAGCCGTGCCCCTCTACAAATGCAGAGATGACTAGGCCTGCTGTGCCCCTCTACAAATGCAGAGATGACTATGCCAGCCGTGCCCTTCTACAGAGACAAGACCAGGCCAGCCGGTTCCATTCAATAGACTAGTAGAGATAGGCCAGCTGGCTACAAATGTAGATGCAACCTCTGCAAATGCAGAGACTAATCACCTCTTGCACATGTCCTCCATCCATGAGTATGTAATCTAAACACTTTGTATATTTCCTTGCCTGATAGTGTCCTACCTGTAAGCTGCGAAGCAGATACTGCCAACAACATAGTAAAGTGAATAGAAAACTACTAAACACTTCAACAGATTCAGCAAAACCTCCTGCAATTGAAAAATATAATATTAAACTTGGAACACAATTGAAGATCTACACCAAAACACAATGCCATAACCTTCTAAATAATCCTGTTATTATTATAGTGTACAGAACTTGATACCATGGTAATGTTACTTGTTATGAAAGTGTATAGTGTATACTATCCTGGTAATGTTACTTGTTCATCCTGTGAGTAATGGTAATGTTACTTGTTATGATAGTGTATAGTGTATACTATCCTGGTAATGTTACTTGTTATGAAAGTGTATAGTGTATACTATCCTGGTAATGTTACTTGTTCAGGTGTATGTGAGTTGTCCCCATGGTAATGTTACTTGTTATGAAAGTGTATAGTGTATACTATCCTGGTAATGTTACTTGTTATGAAAGTGTATAGTGTATACTATCCTGGTAATGTTACTTGTTCAGGTGTATGTGAGATGTCCCCATGGTAATGTCATTTGCTTTTGTTTGTAGCTTGTTGTCCTAGTTAAGTTACATTATCATGGTAATGTAACTTGTTATCATTGTGTGTGTAACTTTATTTTAGTATGATGTATTGATGGATGCAACATGTAATGGTACATGCAAATTGATACTGTTTTTAAGCTTACAACATCAAATTACTGTTTTAGAAGATTATTGTGACAAAATTAAGTTAAAAATCAATAGAGATAAGACTAAGATAGTGGTTTTTAAGAATGGTGGAAAATTATTCAATTTGAGAAATGTACATTAAATAATAATTATTCAGAAGTAGCCAAGGGTTATAAATATTTAGGTGTATATTTTTCAAAAACTTTATCATGGAACATACATGTAAATAATGTGTCCATCCATGGTAAGAAAATACCTATGGGAATATTTCATAATTTGAAGAAGGCTGGTGAAGTAAATTATAATACATTCTTTAAAATATTTGACCACAAAATTAAGCCTATTCTGTTATATGGCTCAGAGGTCTGGGGTTTTACACATTTTAATGTTAAGAAAGCATTCATCTTTATGCTTGTAAAAGATTTTTAGGTGTTACGGTCAGTACTTCTAATTGCATGGTTTATGGAGAATGTGGACGTTACCCTTTATATACTTCCTTTCTAAAGTTTAGACTCATATAAAACACTCACTATATGTTACGTATATATATATATGGTTACATCGAAGATTAATTTCTCCACTAACTTGGGGGAACTAACTGCAAACCTTATGCAGATGAATTGCATGAGGATCATGCATCAAATTGCTAAAAACAGCATGTGCAAATGTCGTGCATGAGAACAGCTGCGTTTTGGAGTAAAGTTTTGCGAAGAATTCACCAATTTTCACTGATTTTTATCATTTATTGAACTCATGACAATAATATTTTCTACGTTGTGAATTTGTTTTACAATAATTAGTTCATGTGTAAACAGTACCTTTAAGCAGTATGGAATATTTTGCAAAATTTAGTTTAGAACAGTTGCCAGAAGTAGATGGCTATATTTACACCAGTGAGTCTAAACTTTTGAAAGGAAGTATATATTGAAGCATATTTTAAGATATTGGATAAGGTTAGTAAATATGCCACAGTCACAATAATGTTACCATATGATGTGTATGTATGATAGAAATGGTAAGATTAATTGGGTAACAAATGTGAGAAATCTGCTTGAAACATGTGGATTTAGTTATGCTTTTAAACTTGATTGTATTAGCTTCCCAAATGCATTTATTAAATCTGTAACACAAAGGTTAAAATATATGTACTTGCAACTCTGGACTGCCTCACTAACTCAGTCACCCAAAACCTCATTCAAAACACTTTTAAATCAGATCTTATAGCAGAACATTACCCCTTTCATGTTAACATTAAAAAGTTTAAGACAGCATATTGCACAATTACGATGTACATGTATCCCATGAATTAAATATAGAAAAAGGCAGACATCATAATGTTCCACAATAAAATAGACTGTGTATGTTATGCGATTTAGGGGTGATAGAAGATGAGTATCTTTTTAAATTAGTTTGTCAGTATTTTCACAATTTAAGAATGTTATATATCCCTCCATTTTACCGCATCAATCATTGTGAATAAAAATTAAAGTTATTGTTAAAAGCAACAAATCTACAAATTTTTAAAAATCTATCAATGTACATCTATCATGGGTTCAACAATAGAAAATCTGTTTTAAATATTATGTGACTGTACATCACTATAGGCAGAAAAAATGTCAGAGAAGTTTAAGGTAAACTGACTGCTAAAGTCCATACCTGAAAAAAAATTCACCAAATCTACAAGCACTATGGTCAGAATAATCCACTTTTAAACCTAAACTCTCAAACCAGACAGACACACACACACACAAAAAAAAAAAAAAATCAGCAAATATTGGGAATTTGTACACAGCTACGAAATCCTGTGGTAGGCTACAACCAAAAACAATCCGCATTAGCCAAAGGATGCCAACAGGCTATCCTATAAAGACAACATTTGAGTGTATTATATCTTTGGCGGGGTTTATCTTTATCAGCGTTTATGAAAATACTAGCAGATCCCCGAAACGTAAGAAAATATAAGAGTTCAAGACCTTTGTTGACAATCTTGCACCCATAACACAGGATGTTCTGGCTACCCATGCGCAATACTTGTTTCCGCTATATCGACAAAGCATGGACAAAGAAACATAATGTAGCATATATTTGTCCTACTTATGCAAATTGGTGACATGGAATTTTATCAATATCAATTCTGACAGCAGTAAAATAAACTGTTTTTAATTGTAGTGCTCTAGTTGTTTAATCCCCAGAATTTTTTCCGCAATAATTTTTCGAACAGACTTCCCGCCATCGTCTAAGACTATTTGCAGCATCATAATCGCCACCCTCATGCAGATGGTACGTAAAACGAATTGTCCTACAAAACGAATTATAGTCAAACATTCAACATTTATCAAACATGACACCTATAGAGTTATGCAAATTTCATTAACAAGGAATGTATTCACTGTCAAGGACACGTTTTTGTGTACTATTTGACCTCGCGCTTTGTCGATTGACAGGGCGTTACGCGGTTTTGCAAGATGGAGTCCAGTGAATGAGCTGAACAGAAATTTTGTGAAATATGGTGCGAACACGACATCACCCTGGAGAGTACAAGGATAACGGGGACTCTCCGGTTGACTTTTTGTGTTTGGAAAGCAAACCCGGTCGAAGAACACAAAAAACATCGAGAGATGTAAGTTAGATCTGAGTTGTGAATCGCGCAAAACCAACGGTTATTTCCTCGTCTCAACCGTCATAGGAATTTTTTTACAAATGTTTATATTGCTCCAAATACCATTACTGGAATGAAACGACGCGCACATAGCGTTAGATGATATGGTTATTTAAAGGTTTGTTGTGAAGATATATTTGAATTTTACGCAGTTTATGTATAAAGAGGGCTAAGATGCGTGGGGAATCCAGTGGTAACTTTGTGCAAGTTCAGTTTCACCTCCGTGTTATATATTGTATTTCAGCATGTAACAAAGCATTTATTGCACTGACGTAATATGTGCCCGTTGATTGATCATTTCCGAGCGAAAGAAACAGAAAGCTGTCCATAATTGCTTTTAATTGTAACTGATGTTAGAATGCAGTGACTTTTGATGTGATTGATAGTTCGATGCCGATTCAGGCTTCCTTTTGTGTTTGTAAATATCTGATATGTCAGAATGTAAATATCTGGTATTACTGTATGGTAGATCTATGTTTCATCCAGCAATGAATAAAGTTCCAGATATTTGCATTTCCATGCACAGTCATTGATCTTGGTGGTGTCTCATGTTTATGATTGTCTGTGAAGTTTATGACTGTGAGATGATTACAATCCAGTAGCCTATTGAGGGTGAGATCTCTCACTGTATGTAGGTCAGGAAATACTGGTGACTATTAGGTCAAATTATCAAATGGTGATTCAGATTATGTTCACAAGTTCAGTATCAACTAAGGGTTGTGGATGTAGTTGTTTTCAACTGTCACAGGGCATTTGTACAGTTCTTTATATGTGTGCCCTTTGGAATTTAAATGTCCCAACAAGGATACTACTCATCTTTGATGAGTATGTCGCAACTTATTGCTGACAGATGGGCTAGCTATCCTTATAAGTTACTTGTCAGCTTATTCTGACAAATTTCATTCTGTGATTGTATAAAATAAGTAAACACAAACTGTCTGGTTTAGCTGGCACTTTACCCATCACCAGTGTAGGAAAGATGTAGAAAATCTAGCCTGTCCACAGGACTGGCAGATCAAATTTTTTACCAGTCCTGTCCAAAATCTAGCCTGTCCTCCAAATATAAATAAAACACCTTCGGCAGTAAATATTCAAAAAGGTTATAATCATTATATATATGTCATTGGTTTGCCAAAATTGACCCGACATGAGGACGGACTAGATATTTTTTTAACCCGTCCTCCACAAAATTCACCCGTCTCGGACGTTGGGACGGGCTATCTTTCCTACACTGCCATCACCACAGATATTATGCAGATATAATGATAGGGAAACTCTGTTCTAGTAACATAACAGTCCTACAGCTATAGCCATTAGGGCTGGGACGATACACTATGTCACGATACGATATGTATCACAATATTTTACCTGCGATACGATACTATCACGATACATACACCTTGAAAGAATGACACAGTATTAAGATTTAAAATGATTTATTTCAAGGTATTTGTGTATAACAATAACACTACTGTAATAAACAAACAAGTAAATCTATCACACTTGTGTAGTTTTCTCTAAATAAGTACTTGTTTAAGATAATACTGCTTTGAAAAAAGTTGTGTATCGTTTTGTATCGATACACCAGTCGACGATACGATAGCTGTATCAAACTTAAATGTATCGTGATGTGTCGGTGAATCGTCCCAGCCCTAATAGCTCGAAAAATATTTTAGTGTACTAACACCCTTTATGTTTGAATCCTTGAAGAGATTTTGTGTTTAAGACAGTGTACACAGTGGTATGCATTCCGCTGCATATGACATTTAACATATGCTACCTTGCCCTGTGTATAACACTAACAGTCTGTTAGGGTCAGTGTTTGCCTTAACCCTGAAAAGCTGCAGGCCCTAAGGACCCAGAACCATAAAAAGTGGTGGGTCCTGCTCAGAATATGAAGGCCCTATTATATTTTAGCTACAATATAAGTAATTCCCAACAAACAAATAATGTGACAACTAGCAAACTGGGTTAAAGAGTTTAATTTTACTCTAGTGACTGATTAGTGTCTGATTAAAAACTAGAAATTACTGAATGATTTTTCTGAAAAAAAATACTCTTAGTTATTGGGGATGAAAAAGCTGTCGGCCACAAGGACCTGCAGAAAACAAAAGCTGTGGGTCTGAGTGGTTTTCAGTCGACTTTGGGCCTAAGGACTGACATTAATTTTTCGAACGCAGGTTAGGGTATGTGTAAATGCCATTGTGTACTTTGTTGTGATCCACAGTACTGAAATTTATTTCTTTGAGTATTTAATCCTTATTCCACGATTTAGTAAAGATTTTAAGCATTTGGTCAACAGGTTATCACTGTTTTCTTGAATTGTTTAACCGAGAGTCCAGGTCACATTGATGTATTGTTTATGAAACGTTAAAAAATACATGATATCACGGTATAGTATTTAATGGTATAGCATTTAGCAAGTAAATAATATATATCTTCTAACTAGAAGTTATCACTCCTACAGCAGGCCAAATGAAAAAAATGTTGTGGTTCCGATTACACCTCTTTAAAATTTAGGGAAGGTAGGTAGGATTTTTTTTATAAACATTTTTTTTTAGAAGTAAAGTACAAACTAAAAACACATTTAACAATGTATAATTATTTATTCAATCAAGGTTTCGGCCATCATGTCGACTTTCTCTATCAGAATGTTCGATGTCCGTTGGTGCCGGGAAAACACAATGGTATCTAAAAGTTTATTTCATTTATACCGCTTTAAAAAAGTAGGGTCGGCACCAGAAATCAAGGGTCTGTCAGGTAATTGGAACCACAACATTTTTTTTTTAGGCCTCAATATCAGATTTGTTTGGGTTAGCTTTGCTCCCTACTAACCTATGCTGGTCTTATAAGCAACTAAACAGATCATGTAAGAGACTCTGTGCATTGCGTAACATTGCAAATCCATGGTGTGAGATGTAGCTCATTTTAAATTTTGTGGTGGTGTGTAGTCTTGTGCATGGAGCCCAGGTATAAAATCAGTTGAATTTAAGCATCGTTGGGTGTGGAGAGTTCTTGGTTGGGTGACCGTGTTTAGAAACTTGACTCCTGGGAGTTTCTAGGACTTAAGTCCTGTCCCACAACAAAGCTCATGTGACACATGTTTGTTCATGAATTGTCTCTGTTCACCCAGCAGTAAATGGGTACCCGGTGGGATAAGTTATATGACTGTTATCCTTCTAGCGCCTCACAGGCAGCTTGGGTTATCCGGGGTAATATTGTGTTAGCTCTTTGAGCATGCGCAAGTGCGTGGAAACAGGCGCTTTATAAATCCCCATTATTATTACATGTCAATCATTGCATGGTCAGGGACAGGCTGTGATTGTTGTAGACTGCTAACAAATAGATGGAATATTGTTCAGTGTGGCATGAAACAAGAAACACATGAGAAACATTCTATGTACAAATGCCTCTTGAAATATATATCTTTCCAGCATGGTTTGGATTCCACCATTTGGATATGTATGATGGCTTTGTGCATCATTACAGGCCTACTCATGGTTTTTCACTGTTACTGAAAAGCTCAATATTTGTTGTCATTACATAGAACAATAAAGAATGTATGAGGACAAAACGAATGTTGCATCTGCTGCCTTCAGAAAATGTTTTTATGGTCTTTATTTTTGTCACCCTATGTGGACTTTTGTTGATTTTGTTCCTATTCAAAGAGATTTGTTTGCTGTTTAATGCTGCACCCCGCAATATCCCAGCTATATGGTGGTGGTGTTCTGTAAATAATCATGTCTGGACCAGACAATCAAGTGATCAACAGCATGATCTTGCCGATATTGGAATACGATGACATGTGTCAACCAAGTCATCAAGTCTGACCCCCGATCCCATTAATCGCCTCTTATGACAAGCTTCTTATGGTTTTTTGCTGAAGACCAAGCCCCGATTTCTCGAAACAAACTTAAGTCTGAGTTTTGGCTTAAGTTAGAGTTTTTACTCAAATTTGAGAAAACTCATTACCCAGAATGAACTGAAATCGATATCAAACTCAAACATAGTAAACAATTTGAGTTTGGTGGATAGATTGTTTAGGCTTTTTTATTTCAAAAATTGCACTTGAGTTAAAAATTCAGCTGTTTCAAATTGTCAAACTCAGTTTGAAATTTGAGTAAAAACTTAAGTTTGTTTCAAGAAATCGGGGCCTGTTTTAATCTAGATTTTCATGGGTCTATCCCAAAATAGAATTTGCTTTATTGACCACAGGGACTAATATCTTATGGATACTTTAGGATCAGTAAAAAGCCTTTTTATGAATTGTTGAAATGTGTTTTTTCAATTCCTGCATTTGTTTGAAAGCTGAGTGATGTTGTTGTATTGTAGGACTACAACAGTGATGACAGTGGTGTCGTTCACAACTCCCGCAGTAGTGGAAGAGGAAAGCAGACCTCAGATCATGATCGCTCGTCCTTCCAGTCCAGGCTCAGGCCAAAGATACGATCAAGGTGAACATCTCTATAAGTTATGATATATGAAATAAGGAATTGATGTAATGTGCATGAAAGGTAGTGGTTAAAGATCACATATACTCTAGGGGGGTACAAATACATAAATCATTTATTGGGATCGTTATAAATATAACCCCATCATTAAAACTACTTATTTCAACATTTAATTAGCTTAAATTGACCTTTTTGACAACAGTGCACAATTCTCTCCCACGAACGAAATTTCAACCAATCAGAGGGGCGCATCTCAGTGATGTAATGTGAGGTATGCATGTGAGGCCGCTGTAGGATTCATGTACTTGTCGGGGGTAAATTATCTTGTTTACAGGTTTGTCTAAACCTGAAATCTTGACAATTGTGTAAAATAAAAGCTTTGTTTTCACAATCTACTGTCATTTAATCTTGTCACCTGCTTTGCCTAGCTTCTGAGTTACAACTTGTTTTCATAGACGATTCTGTCAAAATCGCTTGTCATAACGGTTACCTGTTGGCTAGGTCAGGTTTTTGTTCCCCAATTTACTCGGGTGTTTATGTCAAGTGATTTAAGTATGGTTAATTCAGTGGGTTGTCATTTCGGTACAAAGCAGACTCTGACATGTCTGGAAGCAATTCAGACAGCGACAATCTTTCCATTCAATCTTCAATGAAGAAACAATCGCTAGGCCTTATTTGTTCAAGCCAGACGCCAGTGATGGTTAAAACGATGATCAGCCTCGCTCATCACAGTTTCAGGAAGATTGACTAGTATTTACTGGCAGTAGGTAGTGGTGAGTGGACGTTAACCACGTGAATGCGGCAAGAAATTTATCGCGCAATATTGTCACTTCGACCCCGACCTCACTTCCATGGAAGAAATCGTTATGTTACAAGTTGTGTCATGCATAATCCTTTTGGTCATGATTCAAATACATATATAACTACGAGTAGAAAGTAGTTTTGATTTTTTAACTTGATGAAAACAAACCATAATCTCATTGATTCTCAAACAGACATTCATTGCCCCGTGATGTCATGATTTAAAAAAATGGCGGCATGTTGCGAACATCCGCCAGTCTGAGAATAAATGGTTCGTTTTCATCGAGTTCAAAATCAAAACTACTTTCTACTGGTAGTAAAATATGTATTTGATTGATGGCCAATAGGATTTTGCATGACATAGCTTACAGCATAATAATTCCTCTCTTGAAGCGAGGTGGGTGTCAATATAAAACTACTTACAATATTATTGTCACTTCGACCACAACCTCGCTTCCGAGGAAGAAATCGTTGTTACAAGTTGTCATACAAAAGCGTCTGAGTGCTTTAAGTTTATAATAGTTGAGGGCGAAAGTGTGCCTTATTACATTATATAAGGTGGTCGAGCAAACTGAATTTCTTTTCTAAGATGCAAAATTCAGTACTTTTTAAGGATAATTATGATTATTCTAAGGCAGAAAACAATCAACGGTGACCTAAATTAAGAATCCACGCACAGGGCTAACTGACGCGCTGTTCTATTGATGTGTCTGTCCCCCTTCCTTAAGACGAACGTTACTAGGAAAACAAATGATAAACAGTTTGATGATGGTTTATGTTCGGATTAAATATCTTCTCAAAATTATTTTAATTACATCCCTGATTAACGTAAACCTTATGGGGCAATATGAACGTCGCATTTCTACTACTAACGAAAGTTTAGATCAGTGCATCCAGATGAAGCTGACTAGTCAAGCGACATTCCACGATTGCATTGTGGGAATGTAAACATTGCGAACGTTACGCTGTAAAATTGTGAGTTGAACTGACACATTTTATCTGTTGGAAAACATAAACGTAATGTTTCCACCAGTGATGTTTGCTGAGTGAAACAACTGCAAACCAATAAACAGGGTGCTATGGAGTAGTTTACTGTAGGAGGCTGTACGAGGCGATGACAACTGACAAGCATCGTCACGTCGGTTACATTGTGACGTAATGTAAAAGTGTTCGATTACGAGGGGGCAGACTAGAATGGTGCAGTGAAGCCAATACATTGTGACGTAGTGCAAAAAGTGCACATTAGCGTCTGATAAAGTACTGTCGGCGCCTTTGATCTTTCACCGAAGCATCTTAGAATTATGGCCAATGTCATGCCATGACAGGTTGACAAGGCAATATGAAAGCATCAGGGAGTTGTTATTCAAAGAAAATGTCGAAGGGAAGAAATATGAGCAAATATTGTCATCGATAATAACTTACATAAACATTTGTGATGAAATTGAGTTCTAATTTCCACACACAACACACAAATTTACATCTATATTATTGGTCATCAAAATTATTTTCAAAATGCTGTTTTTGTTGGTAATCCATGCATAAATGAGTGATGTGAAATATATTTATTCTGTTCAGATTTCTTTGGCCTTCAGGGCCTAAAACTAAATGTTCTGGATCTGACAGCAAGTCTAAAAAATATAGCTATGAGCAGCGATGTCAGGCTCCTTGGCTTTAATTCAATCTAGACACTTTTACCTGTCTTGTAGTGTCGAAAGTAATAATGACTACAATTAATAGGGATCATATCTCTGCCACTAATGGGAAATGGTGAATTCTTATTGTCCAGGGTTAGATACAAAGGATTGTGTAGTATGGTTTGGATACACTTGTGGCTTTAGAAACAGATGCTGACTTTTTTAGAACTTCATAGAAACAAGGACCGCCTCCGTGGTGTAGTGGTTAGAGCGTCCGCCTGGAGAGCGGAAGGTCGCGAGGTTCAATCCCCGACTGCGTCATACCAAAACAGGAAGTCCTGGCACCCTGATTTGCTGTTTTACTCTAATCTGATTCGGTTGGGGGGATTTATCTGGGATCAGGACCCCCCTTCCAAGCCTTCACTTGAAAAGAAGTCATCTTCGGGGTCAACTTTGGCATCATCTGCCGAGAGTGGCGCCAAGAAAGCTAAGGTTACCGAGGAGTCATCTCCTATTCCTGTTGCTGGCGACCACGACCTAAAGATGTTAAAATATGGTACTTGTTTGTCCCTGTCTGGCGCTCGGCATTAATGGGTACAACAAGGACTGGTCGGCTCAGAGTCAGTATAATGTGTCTGAGTGGGGTATTCATGCTTCACTGCGGCATGGTATCTCAGTGGGCTAGCACTATAAAACCAGCTTCAGTCTGGGCTAGTACAAGCCGCCGCACATACACACGCATGCACGTCGTCATATGAGCGAAATATTCTCAAGCACGACGTTAAACCCAATTTCACCTCACCTCACCTCACCTCACCTCACCTCACCTCACCTCACCTCACCTCACCTCACCTCACCTCACCTTTTCTAAAATGCCCAGACATCGAATCATTTTGTCAAAATCTATGCATTTCTTTGCTATTTTCCCGGAATTCAGTTCTCTTATACTGAACCGAAACATACAGAACCAAAGGCCTTGTAATGCAATGCGTACCGTCCCGTGTTAATAGCGTAGTGTTTCACCCCTACTATATAGTGGTTACCCCAGTGTTAGAAGTTCAAGATATCCAAAGCAAATCTCAAGGAAACTTCCATATTTGCTACAGATAGTTGGGTGTATAATAAATAGTGTAGTAATCTGTACCTATGATGTAATAATTATCTTTATAACAGGAATGTATATTTCTTGTTGTGAATTTTTGTGCAATAAATATTATTGTGCTTTATATATAGTTTTTGTGTACATTATGTACATTCGTATGTACTGGAGACACGTTTCCGCATCACGTAAAACCATGATATCTGATTTTGCAACCTTGTAAACCAGCCATTAGTCCCGACTGTATACAAGCAGCGATGTCTGGGCTGCATGCCACTGTATGAGTAGTATGATCTTGAACAGATGTTAAACCCCTTGTCACCTCATCTAACTGTAAAGCTACATGAAGAATGAGGACAATTTTATGGATATACAACTTCTTATTCTGTATAGGCTACATTTCGACATCGATTCTAATGTTGTTGTCAAGCATTAGAAATAATGTCGAAATGTTGCCTATACAGAATGAAGAAGTTGTATATCCATAAAATTGTCCTCATTCTCCATCTCTTCAACTTCTAGAATGCCCATCAAAGAAGTAAAGATACATGTTGTACTGTTGATCAGCTCCGGCTCCATTGTATACATTGTATCCCTTTTGTTACAGTGGGGCATACTTCATTGGGGAAGGCATGTCAAGTGATGAAGAAGGTTGGTTGAAACGTTTTCTTGATGTCTACATGGATTTAACAATGTAGTTGTTGTCAGTGTCAGTTGTGTCATCAGTGGTAGCATTTGTGCTGCTCATGTCCAACAACACTGGCATGTTCAGGAGTTTTGTCACAACTCATGAAAATCATGACTATATTTCAGACATAAAAAAAAAATGGAAACTTGAAGTAATTTCAGGCATGCAGAGCAAAATGTTGACCATTTTGGGTGATATGGATGACACATTGATGGCATACTGTTGACTGACTTGTATTGGTTGTCCTGTAGCACATTTATAGCATCACACCGACTTTATGGGCCGGTCCAATGTCGACATGTCATGTATATGATCTGTGACAACGTTGGTACAGTGTCCATACACCATGTTAGCACAGCCTATACCTATTGTTGCCCACTCACCATGATTGCTGTTGTCCTTAGCAAGCTGGATTAACCACTCAAAACGCTTTGCTTGCAGACCGGCTGCAAAGAGCAGGTTTTTAACAGTAAATGTTGAAATTTGCCTTCCTGTGGTATGCATTTTCTATTGATAACAGGAGCAGATTTGAATCTATTTCTTAGTGCGATCAATGCTTAATAAAACAGTCTTGTCTCGATGTTATTTTGTTAAACCTGCTAGCCCAGGTCTCATTGCAGCCCAACCTGTTCGAAGATACTTGTCCCAGAGTCAAGAAATTGAACTTTTTGATTTGCCAAACATTTGGGTAACATGTGATATTGATGGCCTCTCTCTGTCGTACCCACACTTAGTCATTTTTTCTGTTCATGGCGACAATTTCTTGAAGACATTTACATTCATGTACTCCTCAATAGACACACCAAGTGCTATGTTTGATATTGTGCTTAATTTGTATGCCATGGTTTGGTAAATATTGAAATGGCAAAGATGAAATGCTTTCAGGGTGCCCGTGGCGGCACAACTAGATTCTTTTTCTTGAGAGATCCTCCATTTTAAATTCCTACGACAGTTGTAACAATATTTGAATAAAATATTTACAAAACAAAAATCTAGGTTTTTGTCTTGTTCGACCACCCCTACAGGGCCCCACGGACCCCTGACATCCAAGAGCTGGTAACTCTGAGCTATAACCTGGTACACTTTCCATGCTGTCGTTATTGTGTTCAGACGTGCGTGTGTGGTGTCCCTCTTCTACAAGTTGTGGTTGAATACTTTCCAAGATGAGTGTATCTGAAACAGTTACTGTATGTATGGTTCTCCATTTTCCCGCATGGGCGATTTAGAGAAAATTTCATTGATATTTTCATTCACCTTTTGTTGTAACTTTGCTCCCCGTTCCCGTCGGCTTGCCATGTGCTTGTCAAGATGGCGGATGGGTACCTTTTCCCTTCTCTGCTTTTTTACTGTCTAGCTGTGTAGCTTAGCAGTATTGAGTGAGGTTGTGGATTATTTTGTATTAGTTACACGGTGTTTTGAAAGGGTGTACGGAACTCTAAGACCCTTGTTAATTCCGTACAGAATTTACCCTTTCAAAAGACAGTGTGACAAATTTGTTACCCTTAAGATCTATTTATTTAGCTTATCTTTAAACAACAACATTCAATCATCGGCAGAATGAGACGCAAAATGTTTCGCCATGATTTTTCCCGAACGGTCATGAAGGGAGATAACTCGGGATGGCTTAGTTTATGATAAAAATTATCGAATTTGAGGTTTTGTTAAACGACAAGTGTAATACAGAAGCATTTTACTTTTTGGATATATTTATTGACACAAACAAATAAAAAATTGTGGCAACAATTGTATTACTCTGTTTATGCTCATAATTGTATGCACCAACTCTAAAGTTTCGAAGCGATCAGCCGTTTGGCAGCCACATTCTATCTAAGGTCAAGGTCATTCGTACAACCTGTGTAGTGTGTCACATGACAGATTTGATGGGGTGTACGGTTCGTACACCCTGGCAAATCCGCCTACATGGTTTGGTATGCTTTGGCTATTGACCAATCAGAATTCGACAAATTTATCTTAAGGATAGTAATGTTTTATACATATTATATAAATGTTTTCTTCTGCAGTGTGTATTGAATGCGTTACTCAGTTGACTTATGTTTTTTTACGGCTATGGTTGTACCCTTTTTAGAGTATTGTTTGGTGGCTTAGGGTGTAGCATGCATTTGTCTTTCACATGATCTCATGTTTAAGCTATATGTTTATGCTAGTATTTAGTTACTTGTTCGCCCATGCATATTTTTGTTTATTTTATGTTTATATATGCACGTTTTAAGGCCAAGTTTCCATTTTTGTATTTTATAAGCTGCACTACGTGCAAATCGGCTATATCAATCAAAGATACGCACAATTCTAGTCTACGCTGTCTGGCTGAGGCCAGCCATTGTCCGTCATGTACCGTGTTTACACCTAAAACAGGGAAGTTCTGGCACCCTGATTTGCTGTTTTACTCTAATCTGATTCGGGTGGGGGGAGATATCTGAGGTCAGGACTCCGCTTCCAAGCGTTCACATGAAAAGAAGTCATCTTCGGGGTCCACTTTGGCATCATCTGCCGAGAGTGGCACCAAGAAAGCTAAGGTTACCGAGGAGTCATCTCCTATTGGTGTTGCTGGACACGCGCAGCGCGCACGCACACACACACACACACACACACAGTCTTCCGTGAAGTCTTTGATAGATAGTGCTACGTCAGGACTCCGTCATGAGCTCGGCCCTCCGCCTGTTGTCACGGATGGATCGAGCATATCTGAGCCTTGGTGCCTGGGAAGGTTTGTCTAGGGGTCCTCGTACTGACCAGGGCCCCGTTCCCCGATCGTAGCGCTACAACAGTCGTATGTCTATGTTACAGTATGGGGGTTACGATCAACTTTGCTCTACGATCGCTTTGAGGAACGGGGCCCTGGGCTTGGTGCAGGTTCCCTGGAGGAGGTTTACCGATGTGCGGCACAACAGCTGCGTGTTGTGGTCCTCGGCCTACTTGTCAGCGTTACAAGGGCAGTTAGTGGACCATGGCTCAAGTGGAGATGACTCATTACCCTTGTTAGCACGGCAGCTAATGGATGTCCATTCTCATCAGGCGCGGGATAGCATTAGGTGCTGTGCCAGCCAGATGATGGGTGCCGTTATGGACCTGCGTTGTCTGTGGCTTTGTCTGTCAGCAAGGAAAGGGGTTTTGTTCCTCTTACATCCTTGTGACCAAGAAGGACGGAGGGTTCAGACCCATTCTGAATCTCAGAGGGTGGAACGAGTAAATAGAGGTGCCGTCTTTCAGGATGGTGATACTGCACTCAGAGATCTCATCCATCGAGACAGGGGATTGGCTCATGTCAATCGATCTCGAAGACCGAATTTGAAGACCCAAAAAAAGGCTCCCTGTAGAAGGGGGTCGTCTTATCTACGGGTAAGGGTAACTCTTTCGTAAAAGAATTTTGGGGGGACATCGTATCATATTGCACAAGTATAAAGAGAAAATGGCTTTGTCAGTGAAGACGTCAAATTTGCAATTAAACATCAATAGACAAGATTATTTACCATTTCAGTTCTAATTTGTTTTTGCTGGGCATTGTATTATATGCAGGGATTAAGATTACCGCGTGTATTTGTCTCCTAGCCAGAAATAGCAATCAGCTTTGCACACGTTTCCTGGCGATCTTGTTGAAACATACCCAATAATATAACCAGATGAATTCTGATGCAGTGATCGGTAAAATATAATATCTAAAACTATTATTTTACCAAGAGAAATATTTCCTGGCGATCTTGTTGAAAGATACCCAATAATATAACCAGATGAATTCTGATGCAGTGATCGGTAAAATATAATATCTAAAACTATTATTTTACCTAGAGAAATATTTCTTAGCATTGTGTAAATTTACTTACAGGTTTTGCTATATAAATGTAAAATATGTATAATCAACATTAAGGTTATACGTACCCTCACGGACATGGTAAGCGGGAGTTGTATGCGCATGGAATGAGGTGAAATACGCATGACAGTTTGTTGTGATCACCAGCTCCAATAAATATGACATTTAGCAAAACAATATATATATATATGTCAGGGTAGAGACTGCGATCTGGTAGAATCGGAGATTCTACCAGTAGAGATTGCGATCGGAGTCTCTACCAGTAGAGACTGCGATCGGAGTCTCTACTGGTAGAATCTCCGATCCTACTAGTAGAGATTGTAATCGTAGTCTCTACTGGTTGAATCAGAGATTCTAGCAGTACATTTTCCAATTCAACTGGTAGAAACTCCGATCCTACTATTAGAGGCTGCAATCGTCTTCAACTGGTAGAAACTCCGAGTGATCTGTGGGTAAACAACAAAGACACTTTTTTCTGAACAGTACTATGCATTTTATTCAGATATAACACTAGACTGTTTCCACTTCTACAGATATATTAAGGACTAAAAATACAAATGTGACTTGACAGATCATATTATAATATATACATATATTACAAAACTGATTACAAGCAAGATCAATTGCATAATCAGTGTTTGCCCTAGGCAATAAAATTTAGGAGTCATCATGACTCCCTGGTGTCATGAGAGGGAGTCTTGGACATGTTTTTGGGAGTCAACTTCTTTATCAAGAGATCAACTGTTATTGTTTAATAACAACAGGTCCAAGTAAGGCAGGTCAGGTATTTAATCAGCACTGAGCAGTTAACTGGCAAACATTACACTTAGTAGTTTTAAACAACAATAAATTACAATATGTACTCAAATTTAAACTAAAGTAAAGTTATCTGAACTAACAGCCCAGGTCGAGCATTGCCTCAACAAGGACGCGAGCTTATAAATTCACTGCTTATTTGAGATAATTTGTGAGTCAAATACGCAGGTTTTCTGCGTCATGGCAAACACTGCATAATCATAAATACTAAACTGTATTTTGGCACACGTTAGTTGTTGTTGTTATAAGCTATAGGTGTCTTGGCATGTCGGCATTTTGGGAGGATAGGTGTAGGGCAATTCCCCACCAGGTCATTACCCC